AACCGGACCTCCAAATACTGCAGCCCACTCCCTTATAACATGCAACCCGAACATCACACTACTATGCCCAACGTTGAAAATCCATGAATTACAAAAAGGGTATAGGTATTCATGTATACATAATATTTTTAGTCAATATAAATGACTACACATAATGCATAAAAACCGAGACAGTGAGGGAAAAATAACTGAGATTGCATTTAGATATTGGGGAAAAGAATGTTTCGCCGTTGACGGAAAGGATGGGAGACAACATCACAGCAACATTATCATAAACAATGTATGTTGAATGTATCAATCGTAATACGAAAAAGAATGACGTAATACAGGTGTAACCTGTTCTCGCCAAGTAATTACATGTATAATAACTTCAACTGGAATTTGTTATGTATGCTTGCAAACCAAATGACGTACCAAAACATCATACATTCAATGAAGTGCATTTTTGGAGCCATGATATCAGAGAACAATTATTACTGTACATAAAAGGATTGTACATGATAAGGGGTACATAACTTAGACGCTCTTATGTCATTATGTTAAAATGGTATGGTACAATGAGATCTGGCGATTATTGTATAGGCCTATATTGTTGCCAAGTTGTCAAACAGAATGTTTCAATGAATCAACTTTACATAAAATGTTGCGATTGAATGAAAATAAACATGTCAATAGACAAAAAATACAAATGCAATCAAAGCGCATGATTTAAAAAAAAAAAAAAAAAAAAAAAAAAAGGCAATACGTAACAGTATTGTCATGCATTTAGGTTTATTGGTGGCACACAAATGTTTAGGAAATGTTCAATTCCATAGAGATGTAAATGCAAGATATTTTGTTAGTTTGATTTTTTTTCCCTTCTTCTTTTATTTATTTATTATTTTTTTAAATATTTTTTTTAAATCTATTTCTTGAATTTATATTCATCATGATGGCCCCTTTTTTCGGCTTAAAGGGGAAAAAATACAGGTAGCAACTAAATGATTGCTATAATTGAAGTTGAACATTTCCCAGTGACAAGTCAGTCTTTCATATAGATTGTACATGTACTCACGCTGCAATCTGTGATATTTCGACCCATACATAGTGTGGATAGGTTGAATATGAAAGAAATACATATTTCATGTGTCCATTAGTCATTTTCACAATATATTTTGTTGAAGAATTTAGACATGGCGTATATTGGTGTCACCATTTGCACTCATACATTGGTTAGCATTTGGCATTAAAACTTTTGATCCTGAAGTTTGCACTCCTTATATCCCATCTGATTTTTGTATAATTTTTTTTTTTTTCTTTGCTGTTCTAGGTGCTCATAAGTGTTTACTTTGTGTGCACTTAATGTCGTTCTCATTATAGCATCATGGTTATGTGATACTGTTGGGTCTAAAATGAACATAAGTCACAACATGGACATATAAAATGCAGACCGCAAGAACTTCCTTGGTGTAAATGACTAAACTGTTCACATTTACAATTAGTAACTAACAGCCGACTATTGGTATATGCATGTCACAAGGCTATGCAAAACTTCTAAGAGAAAATACAATTTGAGTACGGTAGGCTGAAAATGATTATTCTCTTTTTCTATCAACTTACATTATACTGTCAAACAGATTTAGATGAACAATGAAACAAGGTTACATTTATTTAAATTTTTTCAGTTAAGGAGTCCATGTGCAGTCTGCAAAAACTTGTCTTTGCTCAGTTAACTTCTTTTCCTTTTTCTTTTTTTGTCAGAATAATTTAGGTTTTTTAGTTATTATTACGAGATTGTATTTATTTACTTATTATGACACACATACGAATGCCACTTAAATGAGGATAGATAAAGGAAACACAACGCTATTCGCGCACTTTATGAACTTGCATCACAATGTCAATGCGATTTGGCAATAAGTTAACATCCTCTGTCAGACCATTGACATATTTATTTTCCTTTTAAAAATGTTCAGTTTACATTCACATCATACGGTGACACTTTACCACAACAGAATTTTTATTTTTATTTATTTGTTATTATTATTATTATTATTATTATTTTTTTTTATAGCATTGATAATACTTTTTATATGTGAATAAGTTGAATATGCAAGAGTAGGCCTATCGACTCTCTTGGTGTAGTTTATATAAAGGCAAAATACACCCTGTTGAACTTTTAATAATTATGGTACACTGAAAGTGACATATATAAACAATGCAGTGAATAGTGAAAAGTAGAGGGAAATATTCCTCTGTTGCTGCAAAATTTATTTGTACAGTCTCAGCATCATAAGGACTAAATTGAGACCTTTTATAAGACCAGGTTAGGAAAACAAAGGAGAAAAAAAATATCCTGGTGATAAACTGCTTTAACACTAGAAATCTCAAACACTAAACGTCAAGTTTTGAACAAATTGTTTGCATTAACAGCATTTATCATGCCTGCACAGAAGGAAAAAAAAATGGATCCCGTAATTTGCGTGACCGAGGATCATAAACAATTTAAAAAGAGAGAGTAGCCTTTACTTTCAAGTTAATGATACTGAACATTTTACCTTTATGATTTGATGCTATGTCATTCCGACCAGGTGGTCCATGTCTGGTCCTTATTTTCCCTTGTAAGGAGGATGACTGACGTGCCCTGTACTTTAATCTTGGTTTTTAGCGACTGTGATTTCCGAAGGTTGTATGCTATTGCTGATAGGCGACCCCGTTCTCTCTTCATTACCGGCGGCAGGTCAGATCGTACGGAAATACGATGGGTCGGGGCGGGCTCAACCTGGGTTGATTTAGATCTCGCTCGCTCGGTTTCCTCGCGCTCGTAGGCACGTATGATCCTATCCCGATCCAACACTCTGCCAAACCTAATGATGATTGGATCGGGGCCGGCCGGGGGCGCCGCAGCTCCGGTTGCATTGCCCCTTCTTGGTAGGCGGTGAGCGTTGATGATGTGTATTTGTTGAGCTTCCACAGCAGGTATATGCAAAATACCCGAAATAACTTTAGTGGCGGTGGCGTAGACATCCTCGTCAGGTGCAGGGGCGATACCGTAGAAAAGGAGGTTTTGCTTCCTATGGTGTAGTTCCTGGCGCACAAGCTGGTCTTCAAGATCTTTACGGAGCTGCGTAATGGATGATTCGATGGTTGGGATTTTGTCAGTTTCAACTGACTCAATCCTGCCCGAAGTATCCTCAACTGCCTTCTCAAGATCCCTGACTTCTCTCTTTATCACTGACAAATCCCTTTTAACCGATGCTAAATCATTAATCATGATGTTAAGTTTCCCGTCGATATTAGCAGAAAATTCACTGAAGAGCTTTCGCATCTCGGGCATTACTGACCGCGGATCGTCGGGGGTGTCCTCGATCATCTCGACCGGCGGCGCCGGCTGCACCGGGGCCGAAGCACACGCCACGCCTTCTTTTTCGCTGACTGTTTTCGATAGCGTGCTGTCGGCTTTTGCTTTTGACTTTTGGCCTGCCTTTTTGGAGTTGTTACTCACTTTCTGTGTTCTCAAGTCATATTCTTTATCGTTCATGGTGATGGAGTAATATTTTGTGTCAGGATGTTGTTGAAATCTGTAGAAAATCTGTAGAATTTGTAGAATTATAGCCCGAAACTCATTATTTCTTATAGAGCCAGCTCACCCCGTGTGCACACTACTCGGCGGCCATAGTCAGTCGATCTGGCGCTGCTCAGTGGCTGCCGGGCTCACGATCAATTGGGCAAAAAGAATTTCCGTTTCGGTTTAATAAAATTTGGAGTGGACTATTAGGCTACTATCATTATTATTATTATCATCATTACATAGTACACATATATCATTAACCTCTGTTTTTCCTAAGTGCCCAAGTGCCTTCTTGGGGCATTACTCAAATATGTTATGTGTACAATATCGTTAACTTGATACTTGATACTTGATGAAGTAATCCCTGAAGCAGCTTTTCCAAGCTATACTGGGATGGGATGTGTTGTGACAGCAGGTGCAGGTGCAGACAACAAAAGGGTGTATAATTTCTTTATACAGTAAAACAGTGACGTGCGAGTAAAAAATCATGCTGCTATATGGTTTACAGCATTCTGGAACCTACAGGAGGTTCCAACCCTCTGATGACAGGGAGGGCGATCATCTGGAAAGCAGCAACTGTTGGGGTAGTAACTGCTGTGGCTGGTAGTTGATTCCAGATGCGAATGGTGCGGGGGTAAAATGAGTACTTGTAGGAGTCTATTGTTGCCACAGGAACAGAGAGCTTGAGTGTGTGGTCTCTTCTGCTGATGTATGTAGCTTTAGTTATGAGGTGAGGAAGACAAATGTTGACTAGCTGGTGGTGTTAAAGGTTCTCTTAGAAGAAAAGATCCACCTGATTGATACATTTTGGTCATTTTTTGTGTAGAAACAAATTGGAAAGTTGTCCAACACTTCGTCACAGTAACACTGCCGATTCGGCCAATTAAAAAAAAATCCGATACGCATGATTACAACTTTCAAAAATTGATAACTTTCTCGTTTTTGTCCGAGCGATATCGTTCAAACTTTCATTAGTCTGCTTCTCTGATTTCTCAGCCTACTTAAAGAACATTTGACTGCCAAGGTCCGATTTCCATTTAAATTTACTTTCACCATATGCAAAATAATTTGTATATCTGTTCTGTCTGTATGTATGTAAAACTCACAAGTGTATTTTTGTTAACCCACATACAGGTAAAATGTAGGCCTATTAGTTATATTAGACATCCCCTGCCCGAGTAATTTTTTTAAACATCTCTCTCTCTCTCTCTCTCTCTCTCTCTCTCTTTATAGACAAATTTTGTTTTAAACAAAGAAATACAAAATAGTTAAAATATCTTAGCACACTATTACGAAGATCATTCTGCCTGAAACTTGTCAACGTTGTTTGCTCTTGTCATATATTATGATGCAGTTAAAAGTAATATAATAATTTTTCATTGTTATATCAAATTTAAAAAATCTTTATATTGATTTCAAAATGAATATGCTGCTTATATATTCCTTTTAGTTAACCGGGCCCTGTCATCCATGTTGTACATACTAATTGGTATAGCCGAGGCATTATGCGTAGCTGCCTTGGTATTGGTCGGGATATGGATGGGCGTGTACCGAGGGGGCGTGGCTTGGGATGGATCCACCTCCGAATTCAACGTCCATCCAATCATGATGACGCTTGGTCTCATTGTCTTCAATGGTAACGGTAAGACTGATGGATATTCACTTTTTTTTTTTATAAATGCAGTTGTAAAAAAACAAAACAACAACAACAACAACAAAACGTAAGAGTTCAGAACAGAAAAATAATGTGGGTTTTATTTCTTTAATTGTAGATCGAATTTTGATATTTCACTGAGATTCGTGTACAATTTGATTTGTATTTCTATAACGTAGTACAAAGTAAAACAAGATGTATACATTTATTACCCTGGTTGTAGCTGAGCCACCATATTAAGCATTAAAGCAATTTCTTCCTACCAGATAGTAGGCAGGTACCCATTTATTTCACCTGGGTGGAGCGTGGCAAATGTAGGTTAATGTCTTGCCAAAGGCCATTGGTGCCGCGACGGTCCTCAAAACGCTAACCATACAGTCCGTTGACGTATTAGCCTCTTGTCGATTGCCGTGGCGCTGTTGGGTCCGTAAATTCTGGCTCGCTTCGCTTGCCAGAATTTACGGACTCCACTGAAAAGCGCCAGGGCCATCGACAAGAGGCTATTGACGTATCTGCTAGACCACGACACCTCTACAAATCTAAAAATCAAACAAATTTGGATAGGCGATTTTAAAGATATTTCATGTGATTATGAATTTATAATCTTGTTTCCCATTATTTCTTGGAATCATATCTCAAAATCTATATTCAAAAATTATGTAAAACGAATGTTGTGTGTATACAGAGGATGTTCACATTTTCCCACACTGTGATTCAATGTGCTCATTTTTTACATATAGGCTGTTTTCAAGCTCTGAGTAAATGTGTTCACATTTTGACGATGTGATTTTTCATATTATGTTAATCAATGAGGATAAATGTAACATCACACAGTGACACTGCGTTTTATATTGTGTTAATACTGTGAGTCAATGTGTTCACACAGTGACATTACGTTGATCACACTGCAATACTGTGTTATCTTGTGTTTTCATTGTAAAGGGTAACACGAGTCACTTTGATCGTACCAAAGTCAGATTTCTCATCTTTTCTGTAGGTATGACATGATGGCAGTATCTCTATATCATTTACCTAATTACCATGGAAACACGTGACAACATTAATTGTTTTGTTCCTCCATTTTCTCCCCCTTCAGCCCTAATGCTGTACCGTGCATGTCGGCGGACGCCACACGTTTGGGTAAAAACGGCACACGTGGTCTTACACTGTCTTGCCCTCATCTGCGCATGCGTAGCTCTAGCGGCCGTCTGGCAGTACCATGATGCCAATGGTTTACCAAACGTCTACTCAATCCATAGCTGGATTGGAATAACCGTCTTCATCCTTTTCGCTGTTCAGGTAAGGCGGAGGACTAGTCATACCGACAACGCTGACACCCGGGGTAGGGGCGGTGTTTTACAAAGACTTAGATCGAATTTAGTTGGACTTGAACTATGGCAGGCCATTAATGCCACTGGTTGCTCTCACCATTGGCCTCTCTAAGGGACGTCACAAATCCCGGGCACAAATCTACAGAATTTACATTTTTTAGCTGTTGAAGAAAAAGGTTACTTACATTGTAAACTTAAGTTGTATTTAAGACTTGGACTTTACTACGGTATGCGATACTGCAACTTAAAATTCTGGAACCAGATGTAAAATTAAAGGGAAAAAACCTTAAAAATTATGATCTTTAGATAATATTATTTCCTTCAATAATGAACTATCAAATTATGTAAATCCTGTAGATTTGTGACCACGATTTGTATGTCCCTTGAGAAACCAATGCCAGGAATGGTTAGAGGAACTAGTGACATGAACAGCCCGCCACAGTTAAAGTCCAACTTAAGTCGATCTTAGTCTTTGTGAAACACTCCGGGGAAACACTTGTCGGGAAGAAAACAAATTGGACTTTGCACCCACCCCCCCCCCCCCCCCCTTGCAAGACTAATGGATCCATCGATGACGAGGCATATTAGGGCCGAAGCCAGAGTTTAATGTTTGGGGGGGGGGGAGGGGCATATACATATAATTGATCAACGTCCTGGGGAGGGGTCTAAAAAAGTTCAACCGATCTTGGAAATTTTTGGGGGCACGTGCCCCCCCCTCCCCCCCCCCCCCCCCCCCCCGCGGCTACGTGCCTGGGCATAACTAACCTCGGAAATTCTAGTGGGGGGAAATAAACGACAGCAAAACAGTATCGCGTGGCTCTGCTACTGACACTATAAAAGTACATTTTCATGCATTCGTATAATTTGTTTTTCTTTGTCTACAGTGGTTGATTGGGTTATTCATGTTCGCATTTCCATGTGCTAGTCTACAACAACGAGATAGATACAAGCCTCTTCATATCTTCTTAGGGGTCTTTATCTTCGGAGGTGCGTGTGCTGCCGCCCTCATCGGCATCGAAGACAAGCTGATGTTGTCCATGTGAGTGCAAGGAGCACGACCGTAAGACTTTCGAGAGAAAAAAAAACGAAGGCAATTTCAATAGGCATGACCATCACAGTTTGAATTTAGAAACATTATGACATAAAAATCATAACATAATCTGAAAATGATTTCCATATGATACCAAATATGGTATTGAAATTGACCTTTTGAGTTGATCTTTCTCGAAAGTCTCTTCGATCGTATCAGATCTTTAGATCCTAATAGCTCACATATTCATTGTAGAAATCTAAATCTCTAACCCAGCTCCACTGGTGGTTCAAAAGTTGCCGGGCGAATTAAGGGAACGCCTTCTCCCTCACTCTTAAGGAAAATAGTGTCGGGGAGTTAAATTGCTCCTAGCTCCCTTTATTGGGGTCTATGAACGCTGGTGAATGCCCAGTGACGGATCCAAGGGGGGGGGGGCGAAACGGCCGCCGCCCCCCCCCCCTATTGGCGGCGCCAAAAAAGAAAGGAGAAGAGAAAAGAGAAAGAAGAGAGAAGCCGGGTGAGAAAGGAAGAAAGACAAGGAAATGGCACTAAGTGACAGTACGACGAAAACGAGAAAAACTTGGGGGGGGGGGGTGGGTATGTGCGTTTGAAATGCGCGCGCATGGAGGGGGGGATATGACTGACCATATTCTAATTTTTAGGTTGTGCAAAACTGAGTCGGAATTCAGCTTATTTTCAAAAAATTATAAGCATGCTTGTTTATTTAAGCCGTAGTGCCTAAAAAGGTTAGTGTAAAAATACTTCTGAAAAGGCCGCGCCCGACCCCTCCAAAGAGCGGCAGTATGGTGATCAGGAAATTTTTGGGTCATTCCCGAAGTCTTGGAAGCCTTTATTGAAGAAGAAGTTAATTGTTAATGACAGCCCCTGCGCAACAAAGGTCATCACTCTTTGGTGATAAATTTGAAAAGGGCACATATTTTGGATGTCTTAAGGAGCTATATACTTAAATTCTAAATTAACGGTAAAGAGGCCGCTTCCCAACTCATTTTTGCCCTTCATTTCGCATCAGCTCATGTATTTGAACTCATGTTAGTAATGTGAGCAGCAGATGGCAGTTTACGTCAATCAGAAGTAGTGTCAGTAGAATACCCTGCCTTTGAATACCACGTTAACACATCCCTTTACAACTTGGAGGACCGGTCACATGTTACCAATGACGATAAGTAAAACTACATAACATTACATATTGAACATCTGAGTTGCTCAATGATTATGCCACTGATCCTTTAAAGGTAGGCTTTACTACTTCAACCAGAAGGGATTAGACCACACAGCGAGCCATCGAGGCCACTGTAACAGGTGGCTATCTCATTAATTACTCAGCTCTCATTTAACATAAGAAAAAGAGGATCATGGGGGACCAACAGGCACCGATTTGGGAAGTTTTTTTACTATAGAGGGAGCAAGTAGCTACAAGGACAGTGTGCCTTTAACACCTATTTCTCCGATCTTTTCCATCTCTGTAATAGATCCACGACGTATTCCTCGCGTCCACCAGAAGCCTACGTAGCCAACTTCTTTGGTTACGTCATACTTGCCCTGGCAGCTGTCGTGACCTTCATTGTGACCTTTGCCCCTTGGAAGAGACCTGAAGACATTGCGTCAGAGTGGCAGCCTATTGTGACGTCTACTCCTGCAAGAGGCTTGAACATCCAAGAACCATCCGATTTATAAACAGGGTCTTTAACAGATCGTAAAGACCTTCGAGAAATCAACTCAAGGCCAATTTCAATATCACATTATACATGTATGATTATGTCAAAGAAATCATGTTGGGTTATGGTCATGGTTATAATTGCAGATGGGTGACGGACAAGGCTATTGGAATTTACTTTAGATTTTTTTTCCTCGAAAATCTTTACGTTCGTGTTTTAATTAAAATATGAAAATGTAAAAATATAATCTTAAATAGTCTTACCGGCTATTTTTTTTTTGTATTGCTTGTGGCAGGGGAGGGGGAGGGCATTTTGTGAATTTCCGTTCTCTCTTGGAAGCCTGTAACTAAAGGCTAGTTCAAAAATGACGCGGCATGTTTTCTGTTTCTTCTAATGATGACGTAAAGTGATAAAGCGTATCTAATAACACACACCTCTGTGAATACAGGCAACATGCCCTTCATTTGCACGTAAAAGAAAAACTGCTGCGCGTTTTTTTTTTTTTTTTTTTTTTTCTTCTTCTTTTTTTCGCTGCGTTCAACTGCGCCATATCAGAACAAGCCTTTACTGGGTATTCAATATTATTATTTGTAAGAGGTTAGATGGCTATAGTGGTGTCGTGGTCGAGTGCATATGTCACTGGACTGTCGATCACAAGGTCCGCGGCACTAATGTCCTTTGGCAAGACATTGATCTACATTTGCCACACCCAACCCAGGTGCTTTAAATGGGTACCTGGCGTGGCAGGAATTAATTCCGTAATGGGGCCGTGCTAAAGCCAGGGTAATAACCGGGAGCGCCTGGAGTGTCAAGTCTGACAGACATGAGAGCTATACAAGAACCCACTATTAATACTATTATTATATGATCTGTACCCTCATTCAAAGTACAACAGCACCACTAATGAGAGAAATACTACTTTGAATCTATTTCAAGTTCAGGCTCAAATTTCGTTCATTCGTTTTTACTTGTATCCAAAAATGCAATCAATGTAAGTTATGAAGTTTTGTGTGAGAACAGATGAACAATGCAGTTATACTAGCATGATTGCAAATAGGATTAATCTAATGTCGAATAAGGTAAGACAATCGGGATGATACCAGTGATTAATGGTAAATAAAGAGATAAGAAGGGATAGATGCGATAGAAATATTTACAATTTATTTTGTATTTACCTATTATATGACATTTTAAAGGAAAAGTCCACCCTGATATAAGTGGGTTTAAATAAGATTGATGTACTGGGCTATAGCAGGAAATACGGGAGTGTGAAGAGGAATGATCAGATATATAGTGAGGAAGAAGTTATGATCATGAAGCTACATGAAGCTATATGTAGCTGTATGTTAGGTTTAATACAGGCAATGTTTAGTGATGGTTTATTTTTTATATGTATCTTTTTTGTTATGTACCAATCATTATTGATGACCTGTAAATATTGTGATATTAGTTTTAATTTAATAAAACATACAAATAAAAAAATTAATTGATTTAAATAGAAGTAGACAAATGAGAGGAGCATGTCAGTGAAAGTTTGAGCAAAGACCCGCATTCAAAATAAGAAAGTTATGAAATATTTCAATTTCAATTTATTCATGTTCCAATAAAACATTACACATCAATTATAAGCATTTAAAACAAATGTAGAAATACATGTTGAAAACAGAGGGGTCTTCTAAAAACAATTCTTGTACAAGTGTGAACACCTCAAATGATACTTAGGAATAATGAGTAATTAACAAGTCCGTATAACTACAAAAGGAACTTCAACATAGGGGGTAAGGGGGATGCTAACAGAGACGAGAAAGGGACGAGCCATCGTCACCTATATGCCTTAATAGAAGCAGCCGATGGTCTCTTTCAGTTATTATCTAATCTAAAAGTATATACCTAATATAAGGATAGATAATAATTGAAATGATACATGTATATAGTACACAAACAGTCAATGCTATCTAAATATAAAGCGCTAAATTTTTTTCTCTCCCTCGCTTGTAAGAATTTAGAAACTAGATAAGTCATAATGTGTGCATGAGACGTCTAGTAAATCATTGTTTTTTGATAACTGTATTCGACTGTGGTTTTTTGCTTTCAGCAGAAATATTAAGGGTAAATATTCAGACTGCTCCTCGGACAATAAGAACACAGTCATCATCAATCATGTACAGGAACTTGAGTGATTCCTACTACTGTATGTCTGTATATATCTTCAACTGGTGTATATTTCTGTACATGTATTACATAATATAGGTCATATATACATTTCCTTTGTTAAGTCTCGATATGGTCTTAATTAAAAAATCTTGAATTAAAACAAATATTTGCGTCATCTTCATCATTTTATTGGTGTTTGTAGCTTGAATGCCTGAGTTGATCCCAAGAAAAGAAGTAAAACCAGAACAAAAGGAATTATCAAGGTGGATTCCATATAGAAGCCATATCATATTTTCCAAGTTGGATACTTCAGTTGGTTATGTAAAGTAATACCCAAAGAACAAACTTAACGACGAAAAACATGACAAGTTTGGGAGCATCTTGAGGAGCTGTCTTGCCGCTCACTCGGCTCCTCCCCCCCCCCCCCGAAAAAAATGAAATGCATAAATCAAAGTATTGCCTGTGAGATAAGTGACGTAAAGAATAAGACTATGCGTCAGGCTAACCATGACATGTAGAATCAATTAAAAACTATTTTTAGTGTCAATTCTTAATGATTTACATTCTACATGGCATATCGAGTATATTAGTGGAGGGGTGTTTCATCAACTAAATTTGATTTTGATTTTGATCTTTAAAGATAAATATTAAGGCTTAACCAATTTTAGCTTAAAACTTATACTTCTGAGCTAAACTTGATTATTATTTGATTGATGAAACAGGGCCTGAAATCGAAATCAATTTTAAAATGGATTCAATCAAATAAAAGATCAATTTTAAGGATTGATGAAACATCCTCGGGATCTAGGTTGATACGAGTCTTGTTGCCAGACTTCAAGAAACCCGTCTCGACTGGATCACAAAAGATATACGAAAGCGAAAGCCTTCAAATCTAAAACAAATACAAAAAAAAACAAAAAAACACTGATTTGCCACAATCAGGGTCTGCATGATGTCACTTCGATTTTGCAGCCGTATGGTATGGAGATTGCTTTTTTAAATGTACCATATTTCATTCTTTATCCTTCCCAGGGGCGGATCTAGGGGTGGTTAGGGGTTTACCCCCCCCCCCCCCCCCCACCGTGGGCTGACAAAAAAAAAGTTAAACATTTAAAACAAAATTTTTTTTTTTTAGTGCTTTCTACCCCCCCCCCCCCGAAATATTGGTCGGCACTTTTTTCAAATTTCGGGGGGGGGGGCAGAATGAAGAAGAAGAAACAATTAGTGCTCACTACCCCCTCCTCCCTGTTAGTGTAAAGATAGCACACTATAATTATATTAAAATGAAATTAAGGGTACAGTGCCCCCTTGCCCAACCCCTCAACGGGGCGCCGCATCTGATGCTCAGAAGCCCAAATATGTGAAGATAATATTATGTGAAGTAATATCTTAAGTAGTATCAATATCTGTTCTCAAAGTCCCATTTTCTATCTTACATTCTCCTTTCCTAACTTCGATCGTCTGCTCTTTGATAGACAATATCCTTTTCCCTGTTTCCTAGTGAAATTAACCATCAACTCTCTGGAAGTATCCAGGTGCGATTCGGTTCGTATCCCAGGAGTTGCAGGACATCCAGGCACTCCTTTATGATTTGTCTCTCTTCCATAACTGTCAAGTACTTCATCCACTTATTGGTTGTTTTGTGCTCATCCTTTGAAGTTGAAAATAAAGATGTGTCACTGGAGTTTGAATGAGTCATGTCGTGGACAAACTTCTTGAGTTCTGGGTTGAGTGGCATCCCGATAAAGTTGTAAATCTTGTTAGCCTCTGTCAAAGGGGCTTTGGCGAAGTCCTCGTAAAAAACAAGATGATATCGTCCTTGTAACCATGGAGGCAATGGGTCGGACGACCTCTTCGTATTCTCCCTGATCCACTGGCACAACCCTCGAACTGTAGGGTTGTTATCGTTAATCTCTTGAATGGGGAGCATGTACTCTGGAATATCATCAAGAAGACCAAGCGGTTTAAGGCGGCCCAAGTTCGGGAAGAAAGGCCGTGCTTTAGCCACATTTCGCGGATTATTGAAGTTCAGGTAGTTTATTCTAGACGAGGCAGCTCCACGGGGATCACGAACAAGGTGGATAATTTTGAGATTGATACCGTCCTCAACCACCAGCGGCTTCAGAAGGTCTAGATCGGCGTGGATGATCTTTGTGGCTAGTCTACCTTTAAATTCTGTGCAAAAGTCCCCAAGAGCGCTTGCTGAGTGCATTCTGCAAGATGGACTGTTTAAACAGAGTCCTCTGTTATGGCCAGGTGCAGAACCACTCCAATGACTTAAAATATTCACATAGTCCGTTTTGAAATTGCACTTGGCGAAACCGCGAAGTATATCTCTGGCAATCTCTTTGCTTTCCGGAGTGTTCTGCGTTACATTCTTTAATTTCCTTAATGTCACAGTTGGAAAAAGTGATTCGAAGATGTAGAAGAGTTCTTGATTCTGGTTGAAAAGCTCTCCAAGTGCAGTAGATCCGAAACGCCATTGGGTCATGAGAATAATAAACGGAGGGGATTCATCGACTTTTGCAGATTTCCTGACATCACTCGTGCCCGTGATTGCTTTGAAAACTGCATTTTCTTTCACGGTGGATAAGTTTGTCCAATATTGTAAATGTATCCCGAATAAAATACAAGCAGACAATGCCAGGACTGTCAAAGAGAAGCGTCCAATGTGTCGTCTTTTATCAGCCAACGCTGAGGTAAGTTGACGGGAAAACATTTGCATTTAAAATGATACAGAAAACTTTCCTCAATTGGATAACGATAACATGTAGTTTTTAAGCTTCTACCAACCTTAAATTTCTTATGCAAGCTTTCGTACACTCATTCGGACTTTCTCAAGCTAAGTGATCAGTCTGAGTCACACGTTTGCTTCGCTGCACTGCCTTGTGTTCTGTGATCACTGGACCAAAGATCGGTGACAATGGATTTTTTCACCTTTCTAGCCCAGAAGTTACTTTCAAAGTACTTTTCAAACTACTATGAAGGCATCCTCCCATCCAATGTTATGTCCTGTGTTGAGGGCGTGTTCAGATAATCATAGGCGCCGGAAGTGGGGGGGGGGGAGTTGCCCCCCCCCCCAAAAAAAAAGTGGGGGGCGGGGGGGGGGGGCAAAACGCCCCCCCCCCCTCAAAAAAAAAAAAAAAAAGCAGTAAAGGAGTAAAGATGGTTTGTATTTTTAACCCAAAAGAACATAACAATAATAAAAACCTGAATTTAATGACGTATAACATTCTATTCAAAGAAAAGGAAAGTTAACAGGAATTAAATTTCCTAAACATTGCGCGTGGTACCTATATTTATAAATGGAGGTTTTTATAATAGCGCGCGCATTTCGTGGACATGTTGTGAGAGAATGGGAAAGCGTATCTGTTTTTTGTTATAGGGGTGAGAAGCTCATGAGCTCCTAAACGCTGGCGTACTGATGGGGGGGGGGGGGGGGGTTAATTTTTATTCGATACCAGTGATTGACAAATGTTGCTGAAATGACATGATTTTCCGGTATTTTTTCTCCATTTTTTGGTAAGTCATACCTTTTTATGCGTTTGTTGGAAATTAGAAATTCCAAAATTTACAGTCAGGCGAAAAATATGCTTATTTATAAGCCTGTATGTCAGGGACTGCAGAACGGCCGGGCTCGGGGGCTCGAGCCCCCCTCACTTTTTGAAAAGTTTGTTAAAGAGAAAAAGAAAGAAAGAGAGAGAGAAAAATAAGTGACTTGCCAATGTCACAAAATAATAATGAGGTGTCAAAATATGCTCATCTGACCGTAATTAAATGCCTAAAACCCCAGAGCTTACGGGGGCTTCGCCCCCGGACCCCACCAAGGGCCCTTAAGGCGGTCCCCTGTACACTCATCTGACCGTTATTAAATACCTAAAACCCCCCGAGCTTCCGGGGGCTCTGCCCTCTGGATCCCACCAAGGGCCATTAAAAAGGCGGTCCACTGGATGCTCATCTGACCGTAATTGAATGCCTAAAACCCCAGATCTTATGGGGGCTCCGTCCCCGGACCCCACCAAGGGCCCGCTAAGGCGGTCCCCTGTATGCTCATCTGACTGTTATTTAATACCTTAAACCCTTGAGCTTCCGGGGGCTCTGCCCCCTGGACCCCACCAAGGGCCCTAAGGCGGGACCCTGGATGCCCATCTGACTGTAATTAAATGCCTAAAACCCCAGAGCTTACGGGGGCTCCGCCCCTGGACCCCACCAAGGGCCTTATTACCGACAATTACCGACAAAATTAAATGTCCTAATATTTACCAATTTAACCCTATATACCCGGGGCCGAAGGCTAAATTGTTTTTCCTACGGACTATCTATAGTACTTGCGTATGCGCAAATGGTCATTTTCCTCGACGACATAAATATACGAATTATTTCGTTAACTTAGTCAGCATCAAAGCTATATATTTTAATGCAGGTGCGGAGTTAGGTTATCATTTTAGGGAGGGGCGGTAGTGAGCAGACGAATCAATCAAAGAGCGCGCGAAGCGCACTCATTAGGGGGGTGTGGTGATAGGCCTACCGCGCGAAGCGCGGAAGCTTAGACGTTTCCTTAAATTATTAGGAAAAGAAGACGATTTATTGTACCGTTCTCGACTGTTAACCTTTGTCTGAATGAATTTTCCCCCCTCCAACGCGAAACGCGAAAGCTATGGCGTTTCATTAAATTATTATAAAAAGAAGACGATTTGCTGTACCGTTTTCGACTCTTATTAAGCCCTATTTATCTGAATTCAGTTTCCCCCTCTCGCGCGAAGCGCGGAAGCTTTGATGTTTCCTTAACTTATTAGAGAAAGCAGACGATTGGGTGTACTGTTTTTCGACTCTTAATCCTTGTCTGAATTCAGTTTCCCCCTTCCCGCGTGAAGCGCGAAAAGCTTAGACGTTTGATTTAATTATTATAGAAAGAAGACGATTCGTTGCACCGTTTTCGACTCTTATTAAGCCCAATTTATCTGAAATTAATTCAATTCATTCAATATAAACAACAAATTAATTAATTCATAGACCTACACAAACATCACATGTATTGCAGCCCTTAAATATCATCCCCTCGTCCCTTAAGTTTTAGGTGTGAACAAATGACAACCACCGAGTAGGACTTGGGCAATGCAACAGTTACCGTATTATTTATCACTCTCAATCAGATGCGTTCACAGTTTTCACACCTCAAAAAATGTTTCTGGAATTCATATAATGATACATGTACTGTGTTTATTAAGTAAATCTAATGAATTCTTTAATTTCCTCACCCAAATTCTTTCTCAAATATACAAATAATAAGAATGTGTACAGGCTTACCTGAACTGAAGAGACAAACGGCCACTGTAAGTCTTGAACACGCCAGGTCTGGAACTTCAGTCTTCATCTACCCCCCCCCCCCCTTCTCCACACTCCGGGGTCGGAGGGACCGCATGCGCGTTCCTAAAATCTCAAGGAAAGGGGTACTTTTTCGCGCGACAAAATCCGGCCCGAGAATTGTAAAAAAAAGGGGGTGTTTTGACTTTTCACCCGGAGATTTCTTTAAAAAGGGGTGGTTTATTTTCTCTCTCTCTTTGGACTCCTGAGAAATTTAAAACGGGGTTATAAGATATCTTGAATATCATAGAAAATTGATCAAATCCCGGGATCAAATTCCTGAAATTCCTGCTAGCTTTGAAAGCTCATTCAGGATTATTTCATTTTCAAAAGTAAAAACATTGGCCCCCAGTCCCCCTCGATCGACTAGAGCTCACCTGAAATGGGGGGGGGGGGGGGGTTGTACATCTAGCAGTGTTCTGGATTTGGGGGTAGGGGGGGGGGGGGGGGGGTCTCCAAGGCGGGAAAAGCCAGCGAAAAGCCGGCGAAAGGGGGATTCAGAAATGTTGGCAGTCCTGAGATAGGGGGGTGCTTTCAAAGTGAGGGAACGAGCATATGCGTACCCTAAATAACACTGAGTGGGGGGGGGGGAGCCGGGCATCTACTGTACATGATTGCACTTTTTAAGCGCTCGCGCGCTCGCGCACTTTACGTCTGGGCTATAATAATACCTTGCAGAATAACGAAAAATTATTCTGGAGTTTAAGAAGTGCTTGTTCGCGCACGTCGCGCATCTACTATTGATGATCGCGACATACTGTATACGTGTAGGCTATATATTTATACATACATCAAACAAAATAACTCATTTCTCATGCATTATGCTGAAATTGAAACAATCACATTTTTTTCTTCTTCTTCCTTTTTTTTCTCTTTTTTTGGTAATCTCAGGGGGGATATTTGTACAGGCCATCCCCCTCCTTCAGGCGAGGGGGGGGGGGGGGGGATGCATCCCCCCCCCCGGGATTTACACCCCTGGCGCCTATTGTATTTGTTCTCACAACTTTATTTTGATGTTTAAATGTAAATAAACACCTCATTAGAGGCACACAAAAATTCATGTGCACAGGAGAGGTTTATATCTCTGTTCAGTGAAAAGTTATAGCAACCCAAAGTTATTGATTTGATTTCCACAAAAACAACAAATTTTGCCCTGTATGCATATACGTGTATTGAGGACGTGTTTGGTGTGTTTACATCGACAGTTAAAGATAACTTTTAAGTAAATCCTCTAATCACCATGGATTTGGTCTCAAAATATCAATAATTAAATTCCGAAAAGGTGCGTTGTTGTAGATATCTTTTCCCTCTAATTTTGGCTAGTAGTCCTATCTCGGTATATTAGCTGGACAAAAGTGATTGGACATTTTGTAGTGTAGAAAGTTGAAAGGATTTGGAGTGCTGAAAGCAATTGATAAGTACTTCTTCTTTACTCTGTGATGCTTTAGGAAATATGGGAATTGGCAGTCCCCCCCCCCCCCCAAAAAAAAAAAAAAAAACTCCCGGCAAAGGCTCTCCCCCTGCACCCCATCTGTAAAGATAGAAGTGGTTCCCAAGACAACCTTGTGTTGTATATAATTAGAGAGCGTGTGAATTTTATATAGTTAAAGCTTCTAACAAACACAACCGTGAACCTTTACACAATAATAGGGACTTTTAAATTTGCACGTCGACATAGTGGACTGCTACGTGTGATGTCCTTTTAAGGCACTGGCAGTGCCTTAAAAGAACGTCACAGTGCCTTAACTTCACACGTAGCAGTCCATTATGTCGACGTGCAAATCTAAAAGTCCCTAATTTCTTGCTGTCTGCTGCCTCGAGAACACTGGAGCGAAGAAAGGTTACAATGTATAGCTAGAATCCCTTTTCATGTAGATGTTCTTCTACCATTCTTGACCAGAAGTGCGTGTTCTACTACTGAACGAGATGGAATTCCATAATAACAATGAGGTTTTTTTTTTAGCTCTTTAAAAAGAGCACACAGTAGGGGCAGTGCAATTTAAATTTCAAGGGATGGATAAGACTGATTATCGCTCATTACAGCTATCTAGAATGTTCTGAATTCTGGGGCCTCCGACTCCTAAATTCCTGGCTGGGGCACTGTCCCTGCAACCCACCAGGGGCACTATAAGGCGGAGCCCATGGAACCCCATTAATAAAGATAGAAGTAGTTCACAAGACAACCCGCTGCTATTATTGTCCTTCGGAAAGAGTGGGAGTTTCCATAGCTCAAGACGGTCAACGTTAGGGTTCTGAATTGCTTAAACTCGAGAGCGTCCTGTGGTTCCGCCCAGAACCCCCGGCATGGACTCTGTCAGGCCCACAATCTCTGCCATGTTGTACGGATCCATTAGAAAGCAAGATAAGCCCCAATATATAATTCATATATAATATATGTGCTCTGTATCTGTGCTGTGCCTCTTGACCCCCATCCAGAAGGGCTAGCGTTTACGTGCGAGTGTGCTTCGCTTACTCGTTGCCTTCGACCACCCCCCCCCCCCTTTTTTGAAAGTCCTGGAACCCCCGCTGAGAAATGTATAGTTTTACCCCTTTCC